GAACACAGCTGAAGGCCAAGGGTGGAGGGAGGGTCTGCTTCATGCCCAGGGCTGCTGCAGCCAGAGAGGAGAGACCTCCGGCTGCTGGCCTCCTCTTGCCCAGAAGAGCCTTGTTTTCCATTCGCACCTGCACCTGCCGGCCGGGATGCCTTGTCCACCCAAGCATGCCTGTCCTGGCACCGCCTCTGAGGCCCCTCTAGGGCGGCCCCCAGCTAACGGCAGCTTTTCCCTCCTAACCTATGAGCATGGGTCTCAGTTTCCCCAGCTATACAGTGGGAATGTGAGGGGCACAGACCCGGCAAGCAGCAAGCAGGCGCTCTGTAAGTGCAGCCATTCATTATAATAATGTTGGGGGCCACACCCCTCCTTCTGCCCTCACCGCAGGCAAGACCATGGAGCCCTCCAGTTCAGGCACATAGTAGGCATCCACTGAATACTCAAGTGACCAGCAGGTGGCTCCACACCCCAATTAACCTGCCCTCTGCCCTCTCAGCCTCTCTGAGAGCCCCCCCACTCTAATCACCCACTACTTCCGGTCAGGGGAAATGGAGTCAAGGACGGAGGAGACGTGCTAGACAGCCCTGCATCCCACCTAATAGACCTTTGGATCTCATTGGTGACCAAAGTCTTTAGGCTTGGCTGCCTCTCCCTGCTCTCTGCCCCAGTCTGCCCCACCATGGTCAGCATGACTCCCATTTCACAGGCCCAGGGAGGCGCTGGATCTGCCTGAGACAGTAGAACATTCCTTCACACCGTCCAGCGGTAGCCACACGTCCACTCAGAAGGCTGGCACCATACCAGCCCTGATTAGCAATGCCATATTGCAGAGGGGGGGGAGGGACTCACAGCGGCGAAGCATCTTGCCCAAGGCCTCCTCTAGACAGAAGCTCCGGCTTCCTGACTCTGAACTGAACAAGTTCATCCCACCCTGTACCCAGAGCTAGAGAGGAAAGCCCCAGCCCTCTCCCTGCCTGTTAGAACCTCCATGGTTCTACAGGGTGGCCATGCTGGCCGCCCAGGCAGGCAAGGCAACGGACCTGATCCTGCTGGGCTTGGGGGGCTCCAGGGATGCAAAGACTCAGTCTAAGGCAGCCAGGCCGGACGACGTCCACCCCTCCTCCCCCCATGCCTTCCAGGGATTTTCAAGCAGGCCTGAAGCTGCGGCAGACTCAACCCTGAGGCCGCAGTGAAGGGGGCTGCCTCGAGGGCTGCCAGGGGTGTTGTGGAATATGAATGAGCCAGCTTGAGGCACATCAGCCAGCATCAGGTCCACAGGGCAACCCCGGCGAGAGGAGCCCCGTTGGGCAGAAACCACAGCCCGGCGACCCACCGTGCACTGGGACGCAAGTCGCTCAGGGATGGATTCTGTGCCCTCCGGGACACCACTGCGGACACGCCAGTGCTCCTGGGCCGGCGGGGAAGGTGCGGCCACGGGTCAAGCCCTTGCTCCCATTCCACAGACAGCCACACTGAGGCCCGCAAGAGTGTGGCTTGGCCACGCATCCAATCGCCCCGCGCGGCTAGGGAGGGCAGCACTTGATTCTAGCGTAAGGTGACCTGATTTAAAGCGGACACTATTGACCAGAGGGTGGGAGTGGGGGGTCTTGATTAAAATTTTGGTCTATATGGACCTAATAGACCGTTCCCTAGCTTGTCGTGCATTCTTTCCAAAAATCGGGACTTTTTTAAAACTAAAAAGCGGGACTGTCCCGCCAAAAGCGGGACGTCTGGTCACCTTATTCTAGAGGTCAAGGGGACCAAGCCCTGAGCGGGGCCTCTCTCAGGGCCAAGGTCTTTACGAGCTCTTAGAAGCAGCCAAGCAGACACGCAGATGAAGAGGTCAGTCTTTCCATCCTCACCTCCGCAAACTGCCTTTGCTGCCCTCAGAAAAGAAGCGCTCCCTCTTCCCCATTTCTTACACAGTCTTGCAATAGCAACAGGCCAAATCTGACCAATCAGAACCCTTCCTTTGGTTAACCAATCAGAACCCTTCTCTGGGTTACCCAATCAGAATCCTTCCTTGGGTTAGCCAATCAGAACCCTTCCCTGAGTTAGCCAATCAGAACTCTTTCCTGGGTTAGCCAATCAGAACCCTTCCCTGGGTTAGCTAATCAGAACTCTTCCCTGGGACTGGCATGCAGACACCTCCGCAGATGCCCTCCCTCCCAGCTGGGGCTGCTGCAGCCACAGGCTTGCACGTCCGAAGGGCGATAAAGGTGGAAGATCAAGGCCAACCATAGAGAACCGCACAGACGAGCAGTACTTGGGGGGCAATTGGAGCCCTGCTGCCCATAGAAACCAAAGCAAGCCCACTGCCACGGAGTAGAGCGCCGCCCTCAGCCACGCTGTTAGGTTGCGCCGGTTCTCCCTTTGGCATCTGCTGCCCCTCCTTCCCCCACGCCCTTCTTTCCCAGCCACTCTAGGTCATGGCTAAGCACGTGTTGGTATATCGCTTTGCCCTTCCTCCTCATAAGAGTAAACTCCCTGAGGTGAGGCCCCTGACTGAAGTTTTCACTGCTACCCCCTGGCACCCAGCAACCCAGCATGGGACCTAAGCCACAGTGGGGGGCTTGGTTGCCAACCGAGGGGGTCTGCCTGTGGCTCAGCAACCTTTGGTGAGACAGACTAGTTCTGCCTCTGTGAAGAGCACCTATTCAAGGAAGGTTGTCGGCGGCAACGGCAGGCCCCAAGAAGCCCCCAGAATTCATCTGGTAGCTCCCGAGCCCCTGGGCCCTAGAGGTGAGCTGTCCTTAATGCCCAGCTCCTTATTGGAAGCCCAAGTGATGTTGCTCTGGAGGGCAGACCCCGGAGAGTAAGACCCCATGCGTAGAGAAGTCCCAGAGGTAGATTTGGAGCTAAGTTGCTTCTCCCTGGGACGAGTCTAGGTACTTCTTCTTGATGGCTAAGTGTGGGGGGGTTGCGGGGGGGGGGAATACAGGGGGGTGCTACTTAACTGGGCGTTGTGCATGAGCATACACCAAATACCGACTAAGTACTTAACACACACCGCATCTGGCCGATGCCCTGCGGTCGGCACTCTGACTACCCCCGTTTCACAGCCGAGGAAGCTGAGCCCAAGGAGCCCCGGCTCAGGGGCACTGGTTTGGGAGCAGCAGAACACTTCAGGGGTGCTCGCCTGTTCCCTACCTGCTACCCTCTCGGCATGCACCCCCACTCCTGGAGCTCCAGAGAGGCGGGTGGAGGAGGGAGTGCCCTGGTTGCCAAAAGAGCTCTTGGAAGACTAGGGGGTTTCAAGAGAAGAGCTGGGGAAAAATACCAAGGGGGGGGGGGGCACCTCGAGGCTGCCTGCGAGCGTCCCCGAGGGCGGAGGGGGCTCTGTTGCTAGAATCGTCAAAAGACAGTCTCCCAGCGGCCCGCCCCCTCCCCTCCCCGACATTCTGGCTGCCAAATGAAATCTGGCAAGTCCTGAAAATAGCTCCTCCGCGCTGCTGCAGCAGGCGCTCCGCCCGCCCTTCAGCAGGCTGGCACGCAGCTGGGGGCGGCCGCTGTGGGCAGACGCTGGTGCACACGGGCCGGGGGTGGGTGCCTCACACACACAGGGCACGGGGGTGGCATGGAGCTCAGGGCATGCTGCACTGCCGTCCTGCAGCTCCCCTGACCTTCCCACACCTCCGCGGGAGCCAGACTGAAGTGTTGACCAGGCCCGTGGCAGAGGGCTCTCTCCAGCCCGGGTGAAAACACCGTGGGTGTGAGCAGTGCCCTTGGGCCAGGGTTGCCCACTCACCCATCTAAAGAGAAATCCAGGAGCCAGAGGGGAAGGCCCGGATGGTGTTTATTACTATCCAAAGAGGAAGCCCAGCAGCGCCATCCTGTCTGGTGTGGCCTGGGGAGCGAGGGCCGGGAGGTGAGGGCTGGCCTCAGGCCCTCCTCAGGCCCTCCTCAGGCACCTCATCGGCAAAGCTGCCCTGGGAAAGGTGGGGGAGGTGAAGCCGCAGGTACCTTGGGCCAAAGCGGGGGCCCAGATCTGAGCATCACTAAGCAGCCCTTCTCGGGCTCAGGTCCGACCTAGAGGGCAGTGAGAGACCCCTGATTAAAGGAGAGCCTCTTCCCGCTTCCCTTAAGGCACCTCTTAGGATGCATGAGAAATGAGGGCACATCAAACTCATCCTGTTGTGAAAAGTACCCTGCCCACCCCCCCACCCCTACCTCCCACCACGGTCTCAGCACCTCCGGTCTGTCCCCCACACAAGCATACCCACAGACGCGCACCAAGAGGCAGCCCTGCCAGCCCCTGCCAGCAGGGTGAAGGATAGGCCCTCACATGAAGGTGCCCAGAGGGGCTTGCCTGGCAGGTATGGGCACACGGGCCCCATCCTAGCTTCTGTCACAGTGGTATTTTCCAAATAGAGAAAGGTTAGGTGCCCGCCCCAAGCCCCCATTCTTAGCTGAGATGAGAGGCTAGCCTGTAGGCAGGGGGTAGTGGCACAATGGGGAGACCCAGGAACCCCATGGGAGGAGGCCTCTGAGGGGTCTCTGGGAGTGGGTACAGTGAGGTGAGGCTGGACCACTGAAGGAGGCAGGCAGCCTGGATCCTGGAGCCTCAGGGAGTCTGCAGCCGGATGAGCCTAGGAGGGGCAACCTAATGGGAGCCGTTAGCCTCCCAGGAAGGCAGAGGCGGAGCCCTGATTGCCCCTTCCTCCTCCCTCCTCCTCTCACTCAGCATTCAGAGACAGCAGCACCATCCCTGGTGCCCATGGCAACCAGTGGCCGGATGCTTCTCCCAAGGCCAGGCAGGTCGGCCCACCCTGGGAGAGGAGGTCTCCATGTAATAAAGGGGCCAAGCCACAACTCCCAGTGGCCTTGCAGGCTGAGGCCATGTCCCAGGGTGGAACAGAGCCAAGGTACCACCAAGGCCACTCCGGCCAAAGGCCCTGCAATGGCAGCAGGGGCTCCCGGCCCAAGGTTCTGGTCCTTCCAGAGGCCCAGGTTGAGGCTGGAGCTGGGGCCCACAGCCTGAAGTTCCACGCGGAAAAGGAAAACGCAGCAAAACAATCCTTTGTTAGAAAAAGAACCGTGGCACTCCGAGCCCACCCCTCCATGCTCTGTCCGCCTCTGGCTGTGCTGGCCGGCTGGGTCTACTGGTTGCTGCACCCCTGGGAGGCCGAGGTGCCACCGCCTGCCTGCTTTTTCCGCCGCTTGTTGAGGAGCCGGTTGTTGGAGGTCTTCAGGTCCTTGATCTTCACCTGGTCATAGTCCACCCGCATCGTGGCCAGCGCACTGGTCATCTCCTCCTGGGGACCCACAGAGGGCTCAGATCAGCATGTAATGACGTCGAGCGCCGTCCCACTCCCGTGGAGCAGCTGGAGCAGCTCCGCAACGGCACCAGTGACTGAAGGCAGCCTGCACGGTCCAGGTACCCGCCCGCCCTGTGCCCAGCTCTGGGCCGCGCCCTGGGCTTCACATTAGCCTCCTCACAGTCCTTTGTGGGGGGCTCGTGGCACATGGAGGAGAGTGACCTGGGGCCACACAGTGAGTGGGGCTGGGACACGGAGATGCCATTGGTCTGGGTGCTCCAGGCACCGGGGCCTGAGCAACTGCCCCATGTGCCCAAATCTAGCCCCTGCTGAGCCTGAGCCTAGGCAACCACCTCCCAAGTGTTGGTGGGAAGAAGGGCTGTGGCCCAAGCTGAGGGATCTAAGCCTCTTCACAGAGCCCCGTCACTGGGGGCGTGAACCCTGCCAGGGCAGTGTAACTCTGTGGCTCAGAGAGCCGTGACTGGTGCTGAGTGTAACCTTGTGGCTCAGAGAGCCATGACTGGTGCTGGGCAGTCACAAATACCCTGTGCTTCAGGTGTGGGCAGAGACCAAAGGCCCAGGCACTGGACAGCCAGTGCCTTGGACTCTCTATCTGGTGGGGAGACTGGGGCAGGGCCACCCACCTTGACCTCGTCCCAGTGGTCCTTGTCCTCCTGCAGCACACGTGCTGTGTGCAGTGGGGTCTGTGGCACCACCATCAGCTGCTGCAAAGAGCCCCCCCCGCCCCAGAGTCAGCACTGGGGGGCACCAGCAACCGCATGGGTGCTTCTTCCACCCCCCACCCCCTCCTGGTCTCAGAGGGGGAAACTGAGGCTCAGGGAAGTGAAGGAGTACCACCAGGGGCATGGGGGAGCCAGGCTGTATCCGGGGCACCTCTACACCTGTGTGCACATTCCGGCCCCATGCCAGGGCCCTGCAGCAGTGCCCTGGCAGCCCTGCCCCTGCTCACATTGATCCAGGGGTGGTTCATGAACTGAGCGATAGTCAGCCTCTCGGTGGGATCTGTCTTCAGCAGAAGGCGGATCAGCTGCTTGGCTGGGGAGGCGAGGGAGAAGAGGGAAAGGTGAGGTTCCCCCACCCTCCCCCAGTGGACCTCGCCTCGCGGCCATGCGTCCTGTGCCAGCCCAACACTGAGCAGCCGGGAGTGAGTGGGGACAAGATTTGGCAGAGATAGAGAAGGACCCCAGGGCTGGGGAGAGATGTGGCCATAGACTGGCTGTCAGAAGTGAGGACAGAGGTGCCCATCAACCTCCACGATGGTCCCCAGAGACCCAACCTTCTGGTATCCAGGCCTCTGTACAGTCCCACCCATGTAACATTAGGGTTAGGTGCATGGTTGACAGTTCGAAACCACCAACACCTCTGTGGGAGACCCGGCTTTCTACTCCCGTGAACAGTTACAGTCTGGGAAACCCGCAAGGGGTTCTGTGAGTCACACTGACTCCATGGTG